GCAACCTGACCTCACAGAAGACTTTGCATTCATATCTTTTCGTACTCTAGACCGCCTAGAGTGGTCTAATATGATCAGATAGGCGGGATAGAAATAAAATAAATAAATAAATAAATAAAATAAATACTGGATATTTTTCCATTATTTAATGATAAAAATGAACCCTGAAACCTTTCACAATTAATGAACAAAAAACAAACAGTTTTGCAGTCTGATAGACATATGCCTTTACATAAGCTTTTACTTAGCCTTTGGGGCTAAGTAATAAATGTTGAAGTCCCATCAGGATAGTCTACTTTTACTATGCAGTTTCACCATTAAAAAAAAGATAACCAGCATTTGCCTTTGTATACAAGAGAGATAAACTGTCTAGAAAACATTGCTAAATGTGGTCTTCTATGTAATATGTTTGTATTAAAAATGGTGCCTAGTATGAGTCTAAATTGACAGAATTATGTTATTTGATAGTGTTTCTTTTAACTTATATGGCTCAGTTAAATGCTTTAACCACTATCCTAGAAGAACTCAGTTCAACTGTTACTATTTTTGAACCACTGTGTGTGGTTTATGCATATATATGTCTTCAGCCTGTTTTTCTGTTTACAAAACACGTTGGTCACTCACTTGCACAAGGACTGACTACTTCCTATCCTATTCATGAGTATGTGATGCAAGTCAGAGATCTGCAATCCTTGGGAATCTATAGGTACCTTAGGAATGGTGAGAAAGTGCTGTAGCTACTATCACAAAATGGCTGCCGCAGTGGCCATGGCCAGTCACAAAATGGCAGTATGAATGTTTGAACAAGCATACTATTTACTGTTGTAGCATATGTTTCAGTTGTGTCTTTTATCATATGTGTTACTATAAAGAGAAAGTGCCATCTAATCCCATTTGTAGGAATTGTAGTAAATGACAGAATTATAACACCTGGCTTTCCAGAGCTGAATGTATACTGTGAGTTGGGCAACAAAAGCAGGTGATGGTTACAGCTTTTGTGATTCCCTGATGTCCATGCACACATACAAGTTCACTCTGTCTGTCTGTCTGTCTCTTTCCTCTTTCCTGGATGAATTGTTTGACTTACAGCTAGGATGCAGATAGAACCTGCACCTAGAATCCTGAGTGCTTCCTTAGGTTGTGTGCTTCCCATTACCTCCTCTGCTATTTCAGGTTGTGTGGACAACATTGCTTAGTTAGAAAAACAAATGCAGGGATCTCAAATGCAATATAGTGCAAAATACTGTCAGTGTAGGAAATCTGCTGCTTGGACATCTCTCACAGGTGTCCATGCAGACATGGCTTGTAAACCTTCAGCAATGAAAAGCCCACCGTCTTCCAAAGCAGTCCGTCCCATTGTCAGAAAGCTGATGCCATTAGGAAGTTTTTCCTAACATTTATCCAACATCCTTTTCAACTAATTTTTTTCTCTTCAGAAAAATAACAGCAATGACCTTTTTTTAAAAAAAAACTGATACCCTTTGGTATTACAAAATAATATATGTCAGCTTTCAGGTGTCTGTGGAGAGCCAATGTTGTGCAGCAAATAGTGCAACAGACTAGGACTTGAGAGCACTAGGTTCCAATGCTAGCTGAGCTATGGAAAGTCACTGATGTGTGCGTGGCAATAATAAACCTCTATAAATATCTCACATAACTTGAGAACCCTATTAGGGTTGCTATGAGTCAGATGTGATTTGATGGCACATAACAAGATGAAACATGTGACATTGTCAGAAGCAGTTGAACAATGATTAACAAACAGTCCTGAGCACTAAAGATTTCCATCCTGGACTAGACCTAATTGTTTGTCTCAACTAGAGTAGACCAGCTGAATCAGTGGTTAGCATCCTGCTGCCTAAATGCAGATCAGAAGGGCAATCACATCAGCATCCCTGCCTCTCCAGTAGGCTCCCAGTTGCAATCTCACTACCAATGGAATGATGACCATGCAATGGAAAGTCTGCCACAGTGGTGGGCAGAGGGGAACACTGGTATGTAATTGTCCAGTTGCTCTAAACTTAGGTAACAAGATATTAGCCAATGTGAGTTTGGCAAGTCCACACCTATGTAAATTCCATTGATCCAGTGAAGCTTCTCTAACTGAGACTAATATCTCAAGACAGAGCCAATCCTACCCTTAAGCAGAATGCCACAGTCCCACCAGTGAAATGTCCCCCTGTGGTTACATGACTTTTAATCACGTTCCTGTTGTGCTTTGTGGTCACGTGGTATTTATTCCAGGATGTGCCTCCCAATGTGTTTTTGCGTTACCAAGTCATTTCCTTCCAATTCAACAAGTGCCTAGAGCTTCTCGTTCAGACCGTTTGACAGAAGTTAACTGATGCACCAGCACAAACACAGTGGAGAAACTTTTTAAAAATTAAAAAGATTTTAAAAAGACATGCATGGTGACAGTAGTTCAAAAAAGTTGCGATGAGATCATTCACACACACAGCAATGCAACATTTTTTTAAAAAAAGTTATGTAACAAAAAAAAAAGTAGAAGCCTTTGACCGAATGAGAAATGATCCACACTTAGCACTCCTCGCTGGGTAAATGATTTGCTAATGGCCGTGCAACATGTGACCACAAATTGATTATACAAACTCAATGGGGGATAGGAAGGCAACATTTGTCCCGTGTGACCATGGCTCAAATCAACCATATCAGTAAGAGTATCATGAGAGAGCATCTTTTTTTCTGACCTATTGCTGGGAGGTTATTGTAGGATTTTCACTTCACATGTCAAAATAACTTGCCCACCTTTGACCTGGGTGCATAGGAAGGCAATATTTGCTCTTTGGCCTCACACAGAAAGAGTGTCTTGGGCCAGTCCTATCTGTGGACAAAGCCCACCTCAAAAACACAGACTAACTCTAACTCCACTTGTTTCCAAGGAAATGGCAGCTTCTCAAACAAACATTTTTCAGTTAATGTCCCAAGATACAATTGTGATACTAAAAGACAATCTGGTTTAACAAACTGTGAGTTTAACTTAAAAGACACCACCAGCTGATTAGACATAGATGATATCATTGCACGAACCTGCCTCCACCCTCAGCGAATTCAGTGAATGAAGCAATTAGTTTACAATAAGAGCCTCCATTAACCAAGTATTATATTTGTGCTCAGCTATGTGATGTTGAAAGTCTTCCATTAAGCACTGTTTCGAACAACAAAAAGTCTCCCCACATCTCAAAGACCAATACATGGATCATGAAGTAAGCATTCATGGACTATAGACCATGTGATGAGATGCATGAAATGTTATCCTGAGGTACAAGAAAATAGACATTGTTGGTGGAGAGACTGCAAACAAATGTGATTAGCAGTTAAGGTGACAAGTAGTGATAATTAGTACAGTAGCCAATCACAAAATGGTTTTTGGATAATAATGGTGAACTTATTAACGGTTGTCCTACAGTTTTAAAAACAAGTCAAGATTCCTTTCTCCCTGTTCAAGCCACAGCAGATAGTGTTCCCAGAGATTAGGCTTTTCTTATGCAATTGTGCTGCCTCCTTCACAGTTTTCAAGCCTTGTCTTGCCATTATCGGCAACATAGAAGCCTCTTGTATTTACCCCCAGCTGCTTCCTCTAAGATTTTCTTTCTGTTAAAAAACAAATTCCAAGCAGGAAAAGGCAAATGAGGTGTTCTTGACAGGCAAGGATATGAACCCTCTGCTTGGAAATACCCATGGAGCTGAACTTGTTAACGAACTATAATTCAAGGTTTCTCACTGCAGTCTGTCTGTGAGTGTATTTACACAAGACCGTTACAGCAGTTTGATATGACTTAAACATATCAAGTGGGTCCATCCTCTGGAATCCTTTGTAATTTGGTGAGTTACTTAGAATTCTCTGCCCAGACTTCGCAGGGCACAAGAGCTCTCGAATGATGAATTATCAGTACCTCACAAATTACGCATTGCACAATCCCTTCCATGGTAGTTACCAGGCTACTGTAACTGTTCCACGTAGGTAAACTATCTGAAGTTTCTGTTTTTAAGAACAGCCATGACTGCTTTAGGGGACTATGTGTTCCTCTCTGGGGATTTTTGTGTGGTGTTGTTTGTTTGTTTTCTTTAGAATATTGTCATCCCTGATGTCAGATTTGTATCCATTCAGCCAAGGTACCCCGGAGAAGTGCACAAGCAGGTATAAAAGAAAATGGACATGAGGAGATGATGCAGTTGCATTTACAGAAAATACAGTAATTATTATTATGTGCCATCAAGTCAAGTCTGACTTATAGCAACCCTTTTCAAGGTTTTCCAGGAAGAGAATACTCAACAGTGGTTTACCATTCCTTTCTTTTAGGGGCACCCTGGAGCTTTGCAGCTTCCCCAAGGCCACACAGGCTGGGTCTACTCAGAGGAACCACAGAGGGGAATTGAACTCCCAACCTCAGGCTCTGCAGTCATAGACCTAAACCACTGAGCTCTCCAGCCAGCTGCATTTACAGAAAAGTGCTAGGCTGTAAGGTTGTAAGGATGAATAGCAGGTTATTCTCTCCTGTTTCCATTGTTTTCTTCCTCATTTGTTTTAACCTGCAAGGTTGTAAAGGTGAATAGCAAGTTATTCTCTCCTGTTTCTATTGTTTTCTGCCTCATTTGTTTTAACCTGGGGGGGGGGACAATCAATTTATTCCCCCACACACACAACAAAACCCCTGTTCAGCCTTGAAGTCAAATGAAACCACTACCATGCCAACTTATCCTACCTCAGCAGAGCTTCACTGTGCTTCTGAAGTAATAACAAAGGTGCACAAATTAATGACACTTAGAAACAATGACAAAAAAAAGAAAATCCCCCACCCACTGTGGAAATCAGCTTTACTCAGGATGACCACAGCCTACTCTGTTGTATGAATTTGCCTTCATCTGTCAGATGTCTGTCTCCAGCCAATCAATGAACCATTTCACCTGAATCTCAGGAAATCACCCGTGTTGTAGGCAAATGCTTGCAAAGAGAATAGTGTTCATAAACCGAAGTGTGCAGGGTGTGGGGTGTGTGTCTTCATTAGAACAGCAAGCTGTTTCATCCCAGATCCTGCACCCACGTGGAAAAGGATGAGTTCTCAGATCCTGCTGTGCCTCTCACTGGTTCTTTCCATCCATGGTGAGTATACTTATGTGCACTAGATGTCAACCTAGAGCAGTGGTTCCCAAACTTTGGGCCCCAGATGATCTGGGACTATGACTCCCAGAAGCGCTAGGCAGCACAGCCAGTGCTCAAGACTTCTGGGAGTAGTAGTCTAAGAACATACCGACCCCCCCCCACTCAGGTTTAAGAACCACAGAGCTGGAGAGGGCAAAAAATGTGTAATGGATAAATGAGAATGCCTGGGAAAGGAGGACCTTTGGTCTTCTTCTAAGATAAATAGCATGAGCGTGATATGGACAGATGAAATCCAGATGTCACCAGTTTCTTTTATTAGAAGGGAAGCTACTGTCTGGAAAAGATGGGAAGATGCTAAGGACTGCAAAGTGGGGTGTAGATTCGGGAGGTTGATTGGAGAACAGATACATCTATTTAGTCCTTAAGGTGAACCAAAGGGTGGAACCAACCGAAGTATCCCTCCTCTTGATAGGAGGTAATCAAATACCTAAAATTCGTAAAATGTATACCATGTTAACTAATGAATTGATGCCAATTAACTTAAGTATTAAATATTAAATCATTAACAATAATTTATTCCCATTGACCAATCCAATCCTACTGGCCAGGAGGGCCAAATGCCCACACATAGAGCCTGGCCAATACCAACCCTTGGTGTGCTGACTTTTAATGATTAAATAAATAAATAAATAAATAAATAAATAAATAAATAAATAAATAAATAAATAAATATCATCATCATCATCATCATCATCATCATCTTTTGCCACCTACCTTGAAATTCTGGACTACTACCTATGCATTCTAAACGATGAGTTGATCAAAACATAATATTTTGCTACACCAACTTAGATTTGCAGACTCCCAAGAAGCATAAAACTCCAGCAAGCATCAGATTTTTTTTCTCTGTCCCTGCTCTCTGCCATATACTCTTTTTCACCCATTATAGCATTAAAACAATGAAGATCACAAATAAACCATACAAAGTGTCTAGTTTTTAGGATATTTACATAAAGCTTTTTTTCCAAAGCTTCATTTGCATGCTTACCTTGCAAGTTGTAAAGTGTACATGCTGTCAGTTCATACTGCAAAGGCAGTGAATCATAGACTCCACAAAGGTCCTTCTGAGGTGGCAAAGCCATAAACAATTTACTCCTGCTTCTCTGGCACTGCTTTTTGATACTGCACTCTTTTACTAAAGTGATGAATCAGAGGCATGGGAAGCCCTTAGTCAGAGATGCTCTTAGCTATAAATTGTACACCGCGATGGGATGCATCTGTTTCAAATACTTACACAGAGTTATGTTCCATGTTAAAGTTATAGCCTGCTAACAAGCTGTAAAAGCTGCTGTGGTTTGAGGAAAGGCTATTGTGTTTCAGAGAACTGAAGATGGTGTGACAAATGCACTATTTTGTGTGCTGTACTTGTAAAATTACTAGCCCTGGATTTTTAAGGGGATGCAGGGATTTAACAGGCAGTGGGTCAAAATTCCACTGAACATAGCTGAATTTAGTTCTTCCAGTCATTATATGATTAGCTTCCAGGTGTTTGTTTGTTGAGATTTTATTTTGAAGTCTTTTCTTTTTCTTTTTATTGGAGTCCAGTTTTTTATACCACCCTTCCTTCTATTAATTCAGGAATTGGGTACAATCCATGATGTGGACACTGAAAATATTCCCCTTTTGGTTTATGCTTCTTAGAATAGCCCAACACCCTAACCAGCTAGAATACCCAGGTCAGAGTATCTAGGCTCTGATTAAACTACAACGTGACGTGAAAGTTAAAAGAAGAGGCAAAATCCTATGAGGCATCTGTGAACTCAAATGGCTTTGTGAACAAAAATATTTTATCTGGTGTCAAAAGGACGGCAAGACGGATGTCAGCAAGCGGCTTAGTCTGTGGGAAGGGCCTCCCATGGGCATTGTGAGAATATACTCAAAAGATATTTAGGTGATATATATAATGAGAACTTAACTGTCCTGTAGGCTTACCATCAAAAGATGTCTTCATCACTTTCTTACTTATGTTCTTATCTACATTTGTGTCATTATTTGTTTAGATATTTAAAAATGTATGTTTGTTTGCTGTTGTTAATGGGCTGTCAAGTCACTCACAAATGAGGATAGTCCTAATAAGGTTTTTGAGATATGTGAGATGCTTAAGTAGCAGCTTACTATTTTGCCCAACCTCCTTGAGTTTCCAAGGCCAAGTAGGGATTTGAACCAGGTCTCCTGAGCCCTAGGTTAACACGCCATCCGCTGGGTTTCAATATTTATTCATACTGTAGTTACATTTCTTTACATACATAGACACTTGTTTTGATTGTTTTCTTCATTGTTATATACCGTACTTATCTAAACACTCAGGACAGTTTGCAAACTACAAAATCTAGGGAGCTGGGTGCTAAGGTTTTTAAAAAATCCCACAGAGATACTTAAAAACTAACTAAAATTCTGTTCAGCACAATAATTTGAATGCAGCAATAGGCAAGATAAATCACAGCAAGATGGCTCCTACAAGACTGTGCTTCAAGGGCCATCTGCCTGCAGACTAAAAGTGAGATACAAGCCTTCGGCAAGGCTCACTAGGACCCAGAGAGGCTGGAAGCCCCATTCCACTGCCCCTTGTAGCAACTGTGTTGATGTTTCATGTAAGGTTTAAAGCTGCAGTTCTATGCACAGTGATTTGAATAGGCATGATCTTAAGCACAATCTTGAACGCAGTCTGAAGATCATGGGCAGCTAGGGGGATCAACCTGTCAGCTTCACTGAAGTCGCAGGGCTGAATTTTACTGAGAGAAGAAAACATATGTGCTGCTGTTTGTCATTGTTTAAAAACCAGTTCATTCACTGGAGCTCTGCACCATCTTTCCTCCTAAGAGGCTGGACACATGCATCAAAAGGGAGGCCTGGGTCGAGAATGGCTGCAAGGCCCCAACCACCTTCATCTAGACTTGCCCTATGTGGACTTTAATAGGCTTGGGGCCAATGCTGAAAAGGCTCTGCTCAGATCCACTGCCAGTTTTTCTACCCCTTGGATTTGGTGCAGGACCCTTATTTCCAATCACTATGAATATTGGGATGGGTACTTTGACGAAGAGCAGCTTGATGGCCTTATAGGCCCCTTCCAACTTCACTGTTCTATGATTCTATTACTCCATATGATATCCAGCATGAGTTCATCTCATCCTTCATCTCTCTCTCTCTTTTTTCCCCCTCTCTCTTTCTCTAGGTGGAGCTTTGCAACCTGTGCCCATACAGCCACCGCAAGCCTTATATGCTGAGGGGGAGACCGCTGTCCTGCAGTGCCCCCTGGAGAGGGGCAAGATCCAGGACTACCATGTTTTCTGGTTTCAGCAAAAGCCAGCCAGCCACCCCACTCTCATTATGAAGCATGCCATCGATGGCCAGATAGAGAAATCATCCAAATTTGATGCTCGGTTCGTCCCCATCCGGGATGCCAGTGCCAATGCATATGTGCTGCAGATCCAGAGGGTGCGCACTGAAGAAAGTGCCACCTATTGGTGCCTGGCAGAAGCGAATTACTTCAGCATTGCAGTCTCAGGGAAAGGGACACAGCTCAGTGTCAGGGGCGGTGAGTGCGAACATTGCTTATCCAATACAAGTAACCTGGCCTGATTGAAAATTGGTTGTTTAGCAGTACCAGCGGCAAAACGACTGCCCTGCTTTGCTTTCCCACAAAATTATACTGGTGAAATAAAAACACAGAGTAACTATCAGTGGAATTTTGTGTTGAAAGACAAAGAATTCCATTCTGGTTCACAAAACACATGCCTCCGCTGAGGTTCAGAATCCTTGAACTCAGAGCTGATGCGACTTTCCAGATGTTGTTAGGAATGCCATGATTCCTTGCCACTGGCTATGCTGGCATCTACCAAGCAGTAACAGCTGGACTGCTACACCAGTTTAGTTTCTTCTCTGCCCATGTCAGGCTGCAGCTGATGATCCATCTAGTGCAGTGGCTCCCAACTTTGGGTCCCTATACGTTCTTGGGTGAATCTCCCAAAAATCTTCACCACTGGCTGTGCTGGCTAGGATTTCTGGGAACTGTAGTCCAAGAACACCTGGGGAACCTAATGCTGGAAACCACTGTAGTTAAAAAACAAAGGAGATGCCAGAAACCTGAAGTCTTTTCTCCTTAGATTGTCATCTTCAGTCCCCAGTTTGTTCACCATGTGTTTTTCTTCCTTATACTTTCTAAAAGCATGCTTAAATTTGCCCCTTTGAAACACTGATGAGGATAATCAATTTACCATGGTGGATTTTTCTGGCATGGGGTCCCAAAGGCTGGCCCCAGCACCAAACCAAAAGAGGATGATTCTGGGAGTCACAATGGCTTGGTTGCTGGAGAGGGTCAGGTCAGATCAGTGCATCCTTGAACCCATGTTTGGTTTCTCTTTCCCAGGAACATCAGTAAAGGAACCATCATCAGTCTTCCTCTTGTCTGATGCTTCTCAGAGATCCTGCTCTTCTACAGTCCACGCCTTGTGTGTAGCTGAACAATTCTACCCAGGATTTCTGGAGATCAAGTGGAGCGTAGATGGAAAAGATATAACGGAGGGGGTGATGCCTAGTCAGGTGATGTTGAACAAAGATGGCTCGTACAGCGCCAGCAGCATCCTGAACATCTCTCATAACCTCCTTGGCCCTGGCGCATCCATCAAGTGTTCTGTGCTCCACCAGTCCTCTGGTGCCAAGGCTGAACGGAGTCTGACACAGTGCCAGGCATCGTAAAGACAGCAGTACCCTTGCCTTGCTTCATTAGCCCTAATAGGGTCTGTGTGAAGGCCACAACTGTATTTCCTCCCTTTAGTAATGCTCAGTAAAGCAGCCTTTATGTCCCCACTTTGTTTGCAGCGTCACTATTTGTTGTATGCACCTGATTTACACAAGGGCATGGCTGCTGATGTTCTTAATGGGAACCAGATGGCTGCTGCTCGTCCCAATGGTGCTTGCCTGTTGCTAAATTCCTGCATAACAAAGATGGAGAACCTTTGGCTCTCCAGGTATTGACAATTACAATTCCCACAACCTCTTGCCACTTTCTGTGACAGATGGGACTTCTGGGAGGTGAAGTCTGAAACACCTAGAGGGGCAACGTTTCCCCACCTTGGGCCAGCAGAGAACCACAGCAAGATGCCAGCTTGCCTCAAACGGGTCCTGCCATCAACATGGGAACTATGTTCCCTTGTACACTGGTTAGGTTACACATTGGGGAGGGGAAAGATTTCAGCACATGCTTGGAGGCTTTTTCTCTTTTGTTATTATTTTACAATACAGTATCTGGATCTTGACGGTGGTATACCCAACAATTTGTGGGACCAATGCACAACTCAAATGAAGCCTGGGGGCTTGCTCAGGAGAAATGGGCAGTTGCCTGCAATGTTCTGGTGGCAGTGGTTGTCAATCATTTACCACAAGAGTGGGCAGCATGTGGGCCTTAGATCTTGTTGGGCTGCAACTCCTATCATCCCTAATCATCAATCATGTTAACTAAGACCAACAGGAATTGCAGACCAATACGGCAGGGCTCTCAAAGACATAAGAGATTGCCACAGAGTAGGTGGTCTTGAGGTCCTTCTCCTCCCCAGAGCCGTGCTGTGAGGAAGGATCCAGAGGTCCTGTTCATCCAGTGCCTCACCCTATGTCAACACCGGGGGGGGGGGAAGGCAGCTGCTTCGGAGGCCTCTGTCCTGTGTTTCATGCTGCAGCACTCTCCCTATTTCTGCTCTCTTCAGCATGTCTGCCAAGGCAGCAGCTGGTGGTGGTGGGAGATTCACCCTACCTGATGAAAGGGTACCAGCCCTAAAGTTTATAAGACACATGTTTAGAAAGATTACTTTTGAATAGTTACAAAAAACTTAACAGTACTCTTGTATCTGAAGAATCAACCTGCTGAACTGAATACATCTATACAGTACCTCATTTCCTACCATCCCTTCATTCAACAGCCTACGCGATTTGGAATTTGGAAGGAGCAAAATCTGATACGTTTTGTATCAGGATCATTTCTCTTCCCCTCCCCTAAACTCAGCTTGCTTCAAAGTTAAGTGTTTCTCATGGTCAGATCATGTTTGAACACAAGAGCAGATCATGTGTGAAAACAAGAGCGTATTGCTTTCTCTTACCATATTGTCCCTCCAGACATGCAAATCTTTCAGTGCTCAGTATTGAGACATCCCATGCACTAACAAAGATCTACTATCTTCCCAGCTATCCAACTACAAAGCAAAAGGACAATAATTTGCCAAATACCCATTCTGGCAAGTTCCTGTTGGAATAAGCAGCCTTTTCTTTAAAAGAATGCATTGCTACCATCAGTATCTGATCCGGGCTGAACCTCTCCCCACCTGGCTATGTCAGATAAATCACAATATAATTCTTGTTGTTTCCTTTATCTTGCAACAATGGGATTGAAGTCGAATCCCTCTGATGGGCACAAGGTGGGGGAAAGGTGTTCTGCACATAGTGCCTGAAACATGAATGGCAAATGGTAGGTTTAACACCCCATCCATCTGGGTAGATGAAAGTGAGACACAGCCATTATGAGCCTTCTCCAATCCTTCCCAGCTGAAACACAGGCCATGGGTTGTTTAATACCATGCAGACAACAAAAGGGACTTTCATAAACTTCTCCCCCTACTTTTCACTTCACATTCTCTCTTCGGCATGCAAACCACAATATAATACAGGGGGATGGTTTTAGGAACCTCCTAACATTCATTCCTAAAGGATTGGAAGCTATGGCATTCCCTGCCTCTTTCTTTAGGCACCTGTGATCATGCCAGAGGCTGGGAAATTTACTCTCTTTTTTTTTAGACTGTTGACTTCCTAGAACCTGCCCAAGCCATATGGCAGGGATTCTGGGAGCTGCAATCCAGAAAATTACTTTTTCAAGTTCTTGTCATGTGGCTGGGTGTCAATCAGGCAGAGACAATGAGAATGCTTTTTCAGCCCTTGCTGTTAAAAACGATAGCTGCTGTATTTTAGGAAAAAAGGTTTTTTGACCAAGGCTAGAGGTATGGCTTAAGTGCTCTGGGCTCTTCTTTATTCTAATTGGTCACAGCCTTTTCCTGCCCAAGGGCCAAACTACCTCTTCTTATCCTATCATTATCTCTACAGTGAAATTCCTAGTGCATGATTCACACTCCAACAATGCTTTCTGATCCTAGCCATCCCAAGTGTTTCTTTTTCCCCCCCACTGTTCTTCTGCGCTGTGTTGTTTGAGTTCAACTATTAGCTGAATAGCATCATCTCTCTAGCAAAAGGTCCACCGACACTCGCAACTGTCAGATCTTTCTTCCAGCTTCACCATCAGAAAGGGCTTGACCTAATTGGTGCAGGACCCTAGCTAGGACATCAGCCTTCCCCCTCCCCCCCCAAAAAAAAACTATAAATCACAGGATGTTGCTGACTTTATGTCCAATCCTCCTTCGCCAACATGGCCATACGCCACTCTTTCTAGAATATAGCATCTTCAGTGACACAGAGTTTGGAAAAATATGTTTTGGACCACACAACCCAGAAACCTCCATGAGCTGTAGTCAAAAGTTGATTTCTCCAAGCACTGCTGTGCAATTCAACACCACTCCTCAAGAAGTAGCTACTGAGTTGTCTAGGCCAATACTGCATATAGAGAAGAAAGACGGTGCATCGTGCACGGTGTCCTCTGGAGACAATGGCTGAACTCCTGTTCTATAAGCTATGCCATTTAAGACTGATGACATCAGCAGCCTTAACTCAATGCAACTTTTGGAACATGATTTCAGCCAATATTAATTCAGACTTTCACATAGCACTTCAGAGTTGAAAATGCTTCAATTAATCTGGAAAATTAAGGTAGGCCTGAATGCTTCTATCATTTTACGGATGATGAAGCAATGCAGAAAAGCAGGATGAGGCACTTGCATAGAGATAATCTAATGAGTTGATGGCAGGGCAAAGCTGCATAAGTAAAGCCTTATCTGGAATCACCTTCTTCTCCAAAAAGAAAAAAAAGGTGGTGGTGGGGAAGAAGCACGGAGATTTGATCATTTTCAAACTGCCCTTTGTAGCTGTTAACATAAGTTAGTAGATAATAATGTACTACTGTACGTCTCTCTGTACTATGAAACCTGTGCTTACTAATTTCGGAATTTCAGGCAAAGGTTCAACCAGGTATAAAAGAACATACTTAAATTCTGATGGTAAGTGGGGCCAAAAAGGATGGGAATGAGAATATTATCCTAAAGTTTTTTATTGCTATTCACAAGGCCTCATGGCCAGGTGGTGAAGTGGATAGAGCAACGGTGTTAGACTCACAATACCTAAATCCATGGAAATGCATGAAGGGAACTGGTAGATCAATGCCTTAAATATCTTTCACATACCTTGAAAGCTCTGTTACAGTTGGTATAAGTCAGTTCTGACATCACATAACATAGACACAATTATGGTTCTATCATGGGCCATCAAGCCAATTCTGACCCTTTTAAGGGTTTTCCAGGTACAGAACACTCAGAGGTGGTTTCCCATTCCCTTCCTGTGGGGTGCCCTGGGACTATGCAGCTTGTCCAAGGCCACACAGGCTGGCTCTTCACCCTGGAAACATAGAAGGGAATTGAACTCCCTGGATCCACAGTCAGATACCTAAACCACCAAGCTATCTATGCCTCATGAGAGGTATTTTAAACCTTCCGGATGAGAGGAGAGAGCCAGTATAAAAATTGGGAAACCATTAAAGAATTGTGTCATATGGAAGAGAATGGGATCATCTGGGGAAGTCCAAAGACAGAGCTGAGGTCCCAATGAGGCAGATGCTGCCCCAGAGTCTGAGGTTGCCCAGCACACAAGCAGGATATTTTAGGGTGGCTCATGTTTACTTAAAGTGTAGATAGAATTTGCACCCCTGTTTGTGCAAACATGAAATGTACACCACCATTGCTGACTCAGCCCCAAGTGAAGACAAGAGAACCAGCAAGCACTCCCAGTGATGCAGAATAAGGATGCGTCTTCCTTCAATCCATCCAAACAAATGAATCAACGGCAATAATAACCAATATAAAAATTATAGGAATAACAATAATTAACAAATATATTGTGCACTGTTGACATGACAGAGAGCAGACAGACTGAAGATAGTTACATTTTCAAATCTTACACCCTTTCACCCAAATGGACAGGTCCTCGTTTTGACAGTGCTTCGTCCACCCATCCCTGAAAAGAGAAGATCAGCAAACAAGTCATTGAAATTTATGATTCCTAAACAAAACTGCCTCCATGCAACGACTAGCTCCTTTTCCCGCCAGGCAGGCCTTTTACTAAGCCAAAATAGAAATGACAGATGCCCTAACCCAGTAAAATCCTATAGCATTATAGACACAGTTCTACCAAAGCACACCAAGGAGGGTGTGAGGACCAGTCAGAACTTCAAAAGGTTATTTGTTTGGATTCCACCTTCCCAAATCTCCCAGCCTGCCTGACCACACAGAATTGGAATCCAAAAATGTAATTTCTTCTAAGCTTGGGTACCAGTGAACTTGTTAGGCATCTCTTCCTACATAATTCACATCAGAGGTGGGAGGATTTTTTTCTTTGGAGGACCATGGCAACCTGAGGGCATCAAGAGTGGGCAAAACTAGAGCCAAAAACCTTGTTTGTTTTAAATGAATTTTAAAATTATGTTTTAAGATTAAAATTATATTTTAGATGTTAATGGTTTAAATAAATGCTGTACCTAGCTATTTAAAACTTTTTGTGCTTAGTCTTTTTGAATCATTACAGAGACTTGTTCACATGATCATTTAATACTATCTGTCGTTTGACACATACAAATAGAAACCAAATAAAGATGGTCAGGATATCCAGATTATCATCATTTATGGAGATGTGCATGCATAATCTTCCTTAGAGTTTAAATTATAAAATGAAAGCTTTCTTTATCTTACTTTTTACTCTTTTAAAACCACCTGTACTGAAAGAACAAGGAAAAGGCCGTGTGGTCCCCAAAATCAAATTTGTTTGATTTTTAATTGTCTAGTAAAAGGTACTACCCACTCTTACATTTGTGTAATATGTCTTGAACACACCTTATGAATAAACTGAGCTATGTCCCTTCAAGACAAGGATCCCCACCTACAATCATTTTCTGTATCTCTAAAAGTGTTGCTGAATCTTTCCTTTTCTTTCCCTAATGGAGGTCCTTGTGCCTATAACCAGACAAATAACACTCAGCTTTTCTGTGCTGCTTCACTGGCAGACATTTTTGTCTGGCTTTGAAAGGCACATAGAAAGGAGTTGGCAACTGAACTCTCTGAGGGTTTCTGGATATTTCTAGGGTAAGAAGCAAGAAAGGATACAAGCTTTTCCATCTCGTTCGTGATCTAATTTGGTGAAACAGAGAATAATATTGCCCAGCATTGAAAGATAACAGTGACTGAAGGGGGGGCAGGTATAAAAGGACAAGGCTCCTGGACCTTTAATTCTTGTTATGTGCCACCAAGGTTTTAATTTCCTGGTGGGGATTTGAATCTAGGTCCTTAGACTTATTCCATCACTCTATCCACGACACCATGCTGGCTGCTCTGGAACATTAACAGCTGTGCAGAAGGCAGCATTTCATGAGGTGTTGTTTATCATCCAGATTGCCAGAGCATCCTATTTTAAACAGCTATTGAAATGGTCCAGGAAGCGTTCTGTCCTCGCTTACACCTGGCCATCCTCTAAAGGCGTTGTTGCAGGATTAGGAAACACGGGGCCCTCCAGATGTTTCCACACTGCAGCTTCCAAAATTCTTCAAACTTGGCTATACTAGGACTGAACGGTGTCACAGCCCGACTATGTGTTCCCTAGTGATATCTTCTAATAAAATGAATAATCAAAATCTAGTCTTTCAACATCCATGCATTTCCCAGAAATCTGACAGAGGAATTCAGGCAGAGGAATCTTCAGCAGTTTCACATTATAGCACCAGCTTGCTCTGAAAGACAGGGTAGCAAGGATGGGCGACCAAGAGGGCAATCTATTTCAAGATGGAAGAGGAATAAGGGAGATGGCATAAAACTATCTTAACACTGTGCCATGCAAAAGAACCATCAGGGAGAGAAACAGTGTCGAACTGGGAGGTGCTAACATAGGATCTTCTCCTACCAGGCACTCATTCCTTGGGAAGCATTCACGATCGTCTTGACACAAGTGATAGCACTACCAATTTCAGGATCCAGTAAATCTAGAATAAAGAATGAGAAGGTGTGAATGGTGCAAACAACCACACAAGGCAAAATAATCATGACTTCTTCCACCCAATATCCTGGATGGTGGTGTCAAAAAGAACATGAATTCGTGTCTGGAGAAGTGGCTCAGCAGAAGCATTGTCCCTAGCAGATGGAGGGGACTATTTGGGGAGTGAGATATGTCTTGGGCCCAGTTACTCTTCTCCATGGGAGACAAATCTCTGGAGATGGGTTAGTAGGCACAACAAGAGTTGGGTCCTTCCTCTTTTCAATCTTAAAGCCTTTCTGCTGGTCAGAAAGTGGCCCTGTGAATTTTTAATGGCTGGCTAGGGTTGCAGAACAAAAACGGTAGGTCTCTGTTCCTTGTCCAAACCAGAGATAAACTAAACTAAACTCTTGAAACCCAGAGAGAGGAGTTTAATCCTTTAGAAATTTGAATATTCAGAATATAAGGCAGGGTAACAATCAGAGGAATGTCAATTTAGTTTTTGAAGGCCCCTCTCCTGTGTCCCCACCAAACACACTTGCGAAGGTGGTAGGAGTGAGAGAAAAGCCTCTCCTGATGATCTTGACATCCGGGCAGGTTCATAAAGGGAGACACAGGCCTTGATAGAGATTGGACCCATGCCGTTTAGGGCTTTATAGGTTAGAACCAGCACTCTGAATTGAAATGGATCAGCTGCCAGCAGAACTGCTGTAACAAGGGGGTTATGTGATTCCTGCAATCAGCCCCAGTTAGCAATCTGGCTGCTTCATTTTGGACCTGCTGAAGTTTTCGGACACCTTCCAGAGGCAGCACCTAGTAGAGTGCATTAGAGCCAGGATGTAACTAAGGCACGTGTCATCATGGCCAGATCAGATCTCTCCAGCAATGGATACAGTTAGCACACTAGTTTTAATTATACAAAGGCACTCCTAGCCACCACTGAAATATGGGCAATCAGGCTTAGAGACAAATCCCGAAGCACCCCAAAACTGAGCACCTTTGTTTTTAGAGGGAGTGTAACCCCATCCAGCACAGGCTGAATCGCTATTTCTTGATCTGCCTTTTGAATGAGCAGGAGCACCTCTGTCATTTTCTGGATTAAGTTCCAGTTTCCTCCCAGACACCATTAAACTGCAACTCTCACTAATCCTAGCCAGCACATCCTAGGTTGAAAGATATCAGGAGTTGGGCAACCCTGTCTCTGGGAGACCATGAAAGACGCCTCTGGTCTTGACGATCAAAGGAGACCTACCAGTATGGCAGGCTGAGAAGAGCCTTCATCTGACACACTGGGAAGGTACCAGCCTGGGGAAGGCCAAGACAAAAGTAAAAAAGAAAAGAAGTTCCTTGCCAGGTCAGATCTAAAGATCCACCTAGAAGTACAACATGTCCTGAATTCTTTCTAAGATGGCTAGAGGATGTCCACATACAGAACAAGAAAAAGAAGGAATGAAGAGATGGCACACTCTGTTTCTAAGCACCACAATATTGTGTCTGGAGGCATCTCCATGTCTGACAGATGTAGCTTGCCATGCCAAGTGGGGCTGATGGCAATTGGAGGCCAGAACAACTGGGGAGCCAAAGATCTGCTTACCTGTAGCTTATAAAAGACAAATAAATGAAAACCAAACATTTATCGATGGTTTTAGCTAGGCCAGTGGATCCCAACCTTGGGTAACCCGTGTATTCTTCAGCTCCCAGCAACCCCAGTCAGCACAGTTGCTGGTGAAGGCTTCTGGGAATTGCAGTCCAAGAACACCTGATTTACCCAAGGTTGAGAACCACTGAGCTAGGCATTAGAGATGTTTTGGTGGTTCAGAAGTTCTGTCTATATACAGTATTAGAAGTACTGAGTCCCAATCTGAAGGAACAGAGTCAGTAATGGCTTAGAGCATGTAGATGCTTCTAGGCTGGAGCTTCTAGCCAAAGACGTTATGCCATATGCTGTTCCATATTTTGCTCCTTGTCAAATATTTGCTGGGTAGAAAAAAAGATGTAGCGGTGGCAGTGAAATAGGAAAGGGTTATAAATAGTAGATGACAATATCTGCTCGATAACACCCGTCCATCTGTGAATGTGGTGCAGGTACGGTAGTGGTAACTAATTAATTTTTAAATAGCTTCCCAAGCTTTTCTTTTACTCCTCAAATCTACAACACAAGGTATTACAACATTCACTTAGCTCACTGGGTTGTTGTAAGGATTACTTGTACATGAGTCAGTTTTTTAAATAGATAGTTGTTCCTTACTGCTTTGAATGTGTTTTGAGTGTTGCTTTTGTTTACTGTGTTTTAAGTATTTGCTTGATCCTTTTAAATATTCGTATTCTTACTGTTCTTAGTTTAAATATTGTCTTTTAATGATGTAAGCCACCTTGGGTCCTTTTATCAAAGAAAGGTGGGTTGAAAATATTTTAAATAAATAAAAAATAAATACATAATGTATGTGTAGTACTCTGAATATTTGAAATTATGACACACGGTACTTCCAGAAGAGGTTTTACTATGCAACCATGCTGGCTTAAAACCTGAATTTGGTGTGGTGGGGAAGGCTTGTCAGCTTCCATTTTATAAACTTTTGGTTTTTCTCCTAACACTTCATCTTTTTTCTAACTGGAAAAAAAAATCTGTTGAGAAGGAAAAGACACAAATTTGGCAGCCTAAGAAACCTTCATCTAGGATGGAGTGAGCAAAGTGGTGACCTTTAGATCTGATTGGTCTGCAGCTCTCAATATACCTCACAGGTTGATAGGAGCTGTAACTGAGTAACGACATCTGGAAGGCCACTCATTCCTCATGCCTGTTCCAGAAAACATCTATAAAGGGATCAAGCGTTCGATCGCGACCAAGATGATAGCGGGCAACAGGTGGCGCTGTTGTCATTCATCTTGTCGATTAAACGAGTCAGGGAAATCACGGTAATGGCGAAGCTCATCCTCAGAGATGAAAATAAAGGCATGCGTGAAAATAAAGGCAAGCAAGCAAAATGCAGTGTTTCCCCAAGTTCCGATATAAAGAGTTTTTTTTAAAAAGGGAATGTTGCAAACAAAGAATCCAGGGCATGTTTGGGGAATGCAAAAATAAAAATAATTCGCTTGTTCAGATATTTCGAAGCATCTATACGTACTAGCAATGCTGAACAGAAATCAGTGTCTTGTCAATATTTGGGGGAATTGACTTTAACCTCCAGATGCACTGGTATTTCAATGTAAAATGTGAATTAGCCAATGCATCGTTAACAGCAACATGTTATGTGTACTAACCTAAGGTCCATGACATTATTAAATCAATATACTGTATTGTGTGTACTCCTGTTCCATTTAAATTTTTTAAAAAAAAACTGAAAGGATCTTTAAATCAAAAATAAATAGGAGAGGTTAGTCCACTTTTTCCGAGACAATTACTGTACTGTACTCTATATCTGATGGACCGCAGCCCTCTCTGTATCCTCCCTCCCCTTGCGGAACGACAGTGGCCTCTAGTGGTCATTGTGGGGACTGACCCGAGCATGATACCGAACACAGGTTCTCTGACGCTTTGCTACTGCCCTCCTCTTCACACCACCAGCCACTGTTGATATGGAAGATGCCATAGTCGTTGGTGCCATCTCCGTGCCGGTCAACAGCCTCGGTGTCAAAGCCACTCTCATAAAATGCCATGCAGATCCCTGTGGAGAGGGAGATGGAAGGAGCCCCTGTCAGTCGCCCCTAAGGCAGTGGAGCGATGGGGTGGTCCATTATTCTCAAAGGTCGAAAGAAGGAGAGATTTGACCCATATTACTCTGGATCAGTTGTGTGTTTCAAAAGAGTGTGATTGTGCCTAAAGCCTTTCCATCTGGGAAACCATACTGCCTGGTTCATTTAGCGGTAGAATTCAGATTTTTATATTCTGATGCCCTCCACCACTCCCATCAACGACCTCTCCTGTATCCAAAGCAATATCACTTTATGTCTGGAAGAGAACCTTTGCCTGGAAGCCTCCTAGGTTCACTTAGGCAAGATGCTCCTTCCTCTGCCTCAGTTCCCACCTCTGCCAAATGGGCGTAATAACACCCACTTTCAGTCGTGACCTTCTGAAAACAGTTATTGGGAAAGAAAGGTGCCCTGAAAGGTGGATTAAAAATCTGTTTCATAGACGGATAAATAAACCAAGGACAAGACTGAATTTATTTGGTAAAGAAGACTTTGATTCGTAACAAATTAGTTTCATTTGCTACAAGGCATTTCCCACCATTTGGGCAGTGCACAGGGTAGGAAGAGAGGGGGCTGCTGCTCTCGTGTTCCACTGTAGACGTCCTGCAGATATTTAACTGGCTGCTGTTGGGAATGAATGTTGGACTGATTATTTATTTATGCCCCCCCACCCCATCCTTTTCCTCCACTGAGCTCAAAGTGGTGTGACAGCACTCTACACACACACACACACACACACCACACACACACACACACACACAACACCACCACCATCGCTTTATCTTCTCCATAACCCTGTGAGGTAGGTCAGGCTCAGAGAGAATGAGCCACCCCAGCTATCTCACCAAACTGCTGGTTACCCTTATGACCAAGTATTGTGATCCATAGTATTTATGCACTAGGTGTACTTGCCAGATTCAGGGCTGTCCTGCCCTCACAACAGCACTACAGCTTACTAAGGAAGTGCACACTCACAGTCGGCCAGGCTATAATTCTCAAAGCCATCCATCCCGTTGTCCTTCAGCACGTGGGCCAACTCGCAGCGGCTGAAGAGCTTGGCTTGGATAAGGTCCACAAACCAGGTAAGGAGGAAAGTGTGCAGCAAGAGAATCATGGCCTCAGCCTTTTGGCCTGTAAGGAGAAGGAGCCAACGTTTAAACCAGTGCAAATGTTGCAGACGCCACCCTTAACTTCCCTGGGTGGGGATGGGTGGGGGGAACAGCAGCTGAGAGACAGGTGGGCAGGCTCCAACTAGGACCAAAAGAGATACTGTATAATATTTAAAGAATGACGGAGAGGGACTGGATGATGACCCTTCTTCGCCCTCCCAAAGGAGTGCATCTTTGCCTCCTGGATTAGATCTGAAAAAAAGTTTTCTATGTGAAACAAGGGAAATGGAGACGTTGTGTGCAATTATGACAGCCTGTGTGATGTAGTGTGTGAGAAATGCTCACACCCTTGTTACGGTTTTCTATGTGAAAATGGAAATGGAGATGTTGTGTGCAATTATGACAGCCAGCGTGATGTAGTGTGTGAGAAATGCTCACCCCCTTGTTACTTAATACAGTAACCAGACAACCACGAATTCAAGCACTTTTGCAAAAGTGGGTGTCCTGACTAGGCAGGCACACTGATCAATACACACAGCTTGATATTTATTCCCTATTCCCAGCCACATGATCCCTCCCTTGTTTCCCCATTGTTAGGTATGCCAAAGTGTACAGCCTATCCGGTATGCCTAAACCAATCATGTGAAGCGGTAGGTATGGCAAGGTCTACAGCCTATCCAGTATGCCTAAACCAATCATGTGAAGTCCTGTCCCTGTTTTACATCTCCCATTCCCCATATTAACTAGACCCCAGGCTGCTATTTATTTTTCTCCTTATTTGGTACATAGTCCCCTTTCCTTAACCTTCTTATGGTCATTCTTACTGACCTATACTGTTTCATTATTAGCTAGGCTTAATTGCCTAATCTTCTTGTCAGTACAATAGGGTACCTCCCTTATTTGTACTTTCCTCTTATAATTTTTTAAGACTAAATTCCTTATGTCCGCTAAATAATTAACAAAGTCTATATACTGATTATTTTACCATGACCATTTACTCAATCATCCTGTCCTTGTAGGGACTTGCAAAAGCAGCATTTACCTTCATCCTTTTCTCTTAAGTGGATAGAGTGAGGGATTAGGAGATCTGCGTTCAAATCCCTGCTCAGCATGGAAACATCACTGGGGCATGTCAATGGTAAAACCACTCCTGAAATATTCTACCCAGTATACCACACTGGCTCCCAAACAGAAGCCTACAGTACATGGTATCCCTAGGCAGTTTCCCATCCAAGCACTAACCTTGGGCCCAACCCTGCTTAGCATCTGAAATCAAACAGGACCAGATGCATTCAGAGTAAATTAGCCACCCCAGATGCAACCAAAGATATTTAATCTTTTATCAAGAAGCAATTTTAACAAAAACTATTGTTAGTGTGGAGGGACGTGGTGGTGCTGCAGGTAAAACCGCAGAAGCCTCTGTGCTGCAAGGTTGGAAGACCTGCAGTCATAAGATCAAATCCACGCCATGGAGTGAGCTCCCATTGCTTGTCCCAGCTCCTGCCAACCTAGCAGTTCAAAAGCATGCAAATGCAAGTAGATAAATAGATACCACCACAGTGGGAAGGTAACAGTGTTTCGTGTCTAGTCGCACTGGCCATGTGACCACATAAACTGTCTTTGGACAAAAACGCTGGCTCTACAGCTTGGAAATGGGGATGAGCACCGCGCCCTAGAGTCAGACACGACTGGACTAAATGTCAAGGGGAATCTTTACCTTATTGTTAGTCTAACTGTCCTCTCTAAACAACACTCTTCCCCTCTGTTTAGGCAGCTCAGGTGGTCCAGGGCAGCCTGTGGAATGCAAGAATCTCACCCAGGCATCCTGTTCAACTCACCGTCTGGAGGAGGAGGAGGAGGAGGAACTCCTGACAAGCTGGTCAGGGCAGCAGGTTTTATTTAAAAGCGAAAGCAGGCAAGCGAAAGCAGACCTGACGGGTCCAAGGTCACCATGGCTTTTGCAAGGAGCCAGCTGCAGCCATGGGGTTCTGGCCCCTCCGTTTCCCTTTGGAAACATCACAGAATTCTAGAACCCAGAGTGAACTGTGACATCATTGCCCACTGATGAGGCAATGATGAAGCTGAGGCAAACAGCCATAGAACCAGCCATGAGTCAGCCTTTGTGTGCATTTATAGTGAGCCCCAAAGAGGTTCTGGAAGGCCCACAAGGACAGTCTAGAGTTCCTGGGAAGTCTATAGACAAGCCCCAGGGAGATCCTAGACCACTACAGATGAGACCCAAAGAAACCCCATGAATGTTGCAGATATGGGTAGTAGAAAAATGGAGCATATTGGGGACAAGTCCCAGAGGGATTCCAGGAGATTGCATGTGGTAGGTGCAAGGAAATCTTGATGGGGGAGCAAAAACAGCCTTATTATTCTGGGTAAGAAGGATGGATACTGGCAAGCGCAAGCTCTTATCTGGCCAAAGAGAACTGGGTGCAGATTTGAAAAAAGAGTTTCTGGACATTATTTTTACCATAAGGAAATTTCAGCACTATGTGTTTGGTGCACCACTGATGGCCACATCACAAACCTCTGGAAGCCATAATCTCTTAGCCCATTGGAAAGGCACCAGACAGACTAGGGAGAATGCTTTTCAGTAAGCTACAAATTAGCTTATATTAAAAGCAGTGACATATTTGCAGCTGACATTTTCAGAACACACGATAAATACTCTTAAGGAAGACAAAGATGTTCTCACTTGTCAAGATGTGAAATCTTGTGATGTGCTGTAGAATGTTAAAATATTTAAGGGCGGTGTAGGAAAAAATAGCCTTGAAAATGAAAGTACTTTCAGAATTGAGGATTGATCAATAGTTTACTAGAATCATTGCAATGCAATTAGCCAGCTCTCCAGCCAAGAATTGGACAAGATCACTGTACTGTACAGTACCATAATCCTCCTGACTGCTGAACATGCTTTACAAATGATAAAAAGGCATAAACAAAGGATGCAAGTCTTATAACTTGCACTATTTGTGGCTACAATATCCTGGTTTTCCGTGGCTACAATATTCCAAGACTCAAGTGCACCAGATGCTTTTTGTTGCAAGTTTGTATTCTCCCAGAGTTTGCAAGATAAATATGTTTATCATCACAATGGCATCCTGCCAGACTCTGAATTACAGGCCCTTGGAGTTACAGAAAGTTCATGTTTATTAGAATTTCCTATTGGATTTTTCTTTTTCATGGTGAACCACTCTCCCAGACCTCCAGGCCCTGAGAAAATGATTGATGATAGTAAATGAAGGAGAAATAAGAATATAAATAATGGCCAGAAAAGATAGCCAGGGCAAGGCACAAAGGATACCAGGAGATAACCATTACAGGGGAGAAATCTCTGCTGGGGCAAGGGTAAATTCCCCCCACCTATGACAGTGTGATCTTTTCATTGCTTATATATACTCTAGTCTATCAACTACATAGTCTGTTCAGATATTTTCATAGATGTGGCTTAATTGAGAACTGTTTTTTTATAATTTAGAGAGTTTGCCTTTGTAGTACTTTTAATTATTCAGTACAGTATTTTCTAACTCTTTAGTTCCAGTCTTATTGTTCCACTCTGAAGCACTATATTCATTTTTATTAGAGCATTTTAAAGTTTTGTTAGAGTAGTAACTTATATTTTCTATTTAGTTCATTAAGTTTTCATAGTTTGTTTTTTGGATATTCAGTAGAGAATGCAATAGATAAAACACAATACAACACACATATATTATGTGCTTGCATGTGCCTGTGTAAAATGTAGAGATGTTCTTGGACATTCAATTTATCTGTCTTGCATGAGGCTAAGAAGTCAGAGGATATTCAGAACAAAGGAGAACTGTATAAGGTGCACAATATTCCTCTGGGTTTAATGGAATTCACCTTTTGGGGATAAATGTCAGTTGTGGTGAACACAGGCTTCTAATTTTTCCCTGGAGGTCTATAAGGTTCTGTTGGACTCTTAGGGAGAGGTTCAGGCGTCAGATTCCTTGACCTGACACACAGGATAAGAAGATAATCTATGAGATTACAGAAACTGAATCCACTGGCAATCTCTTGCTATGCCAGTTGCATGAGTTTAGCTATACTGACCTAGTCCTACAGAAATGTAAGGACCACCCCCTTAAAAAGCCTAAAATAACAACTTTTTTTTGGGGGGGGGAAGAGAGGAAGCACTTGAAAACAAAAATCATGCCTCTTTGACTCAAAAGTCAGTGTGGTTTATTGGACAGAGTATCAGAGTAGGATTTAAGAGACCTGGAAACTCACCAGGGGTGGGTGGGGTGGCAATGGCTAAACATTCCTGGATCATCTAACATCTCTCAAAAAACTCTTTTAGGGTCATCATCTTCTGTGAACAACTTGATGGTATATAGCAAAAATATCTCATGTGATAAGTGATACTTGCACAGGACAGTCTTCTGGAGCAGACAGATATTCCATGCCTGAGAACTGTTCACATCCACTTGAGCCTCCAGCTCAAGAAGCAATCATCCAAACCAGGAGTTTTCGAGACATTCTCTTGCCTTGGGAAAGAGCATGGATCTTCTGGAAGATCTTGTCAGAACTGGCTGGAAGAGGTCAATATATTTCTGCAATATGTTCTGGCTATTATTGTTGCAGAGTTTTAAATTTCTAGTAAAATTCTTTTATCATCATTATCATCATTATCATCATCATTATCATCATCATCTTTGGCTACACAGTAGAAGTACAGAGATCCACAGAGGAGAATAGCATTAAGTTCCCCAGATTCCACCCCTTTCTCATTAACTGGCACTTAAAGTCTCAGAAACTCACTCTGAGACATTTGTGGGAGAAAGAATAAAAAACATTTTAACTTATAGCTGTTTGAAATTACAGACTTGTATACCGTATACTGCTTTCTTGTATGCTAGCAACCAACCCAACAGATCAACAGCGACAAACAATTGTTACCAATCAATGAAAGTGAGGGAAAGAGGCACTCAGCAGAAAGGCAAGACTCTCTTTGAATTCAAAAGCTGGAAGAAACAATTGGTTAGTACTGGATAGATAGACAACACCCCAGCCCAAAAAAGTCCCTTCCAGCCATTCAAACTAGAAACAGCTCATGGGTTGTAAATAAAACCCCAACAGTTATTATCCCGGTCTGTCTGTCTGTCTGTCTGTCTGTCTGTCTGTCTGTCTGTCTGTCTGTCTGTCTTCATTCATTCATTCATTCATTCATTCATTCATTCATTCATTCATTCATTGTACAGTATAGTTTAGAAAGTTCTGAAGGCATCCAGTTGCATATCTCTGGCCTTAGAGGATATCAATTGCTAGCCATCTCCCATGGTGAGTTTCCTCCATATGCACAGAAGATGGGAAGCAAATACTACTTAGCACACAAGCCCTGAAAAAATTCTGAAAGAGTTGCTGACAGAGTGAGACCACTGCAGACAAGACTCGGGGCAATTCCTGGAGTCCTGCCAAAAATTCATGGAGCAAATCTGAGAATCCCTGCACAGAAACTGATAGCACTACAGACAAGCCCTAGGAGGACACTGAGAAGGCTGTGGACAAGCGTGAAAAAGAAGCCCATAAGCTCTGTGGAAAAACCACAGAGAAATCTGCAGAGAGGAAACAAGAGTGCTGTAGAGCCAGTGGTTCTGAAACTTGCGTCTCCAGATGTCATCCAGCTGCAATTCCCAGAAATCCTGGCCAGCACAGCTAGTGGTGAAGGCTTCTGGGAATTGCAGTCCAAGAACACCTGGTGTACCCAAGGTTGGGAACCACTGTGTGTAGGCGAGCCTTCCAGGAAGATGCCAAGGTCCCTGCAGCCAAGCTCTAGAGACAAGCTCTGAGTCTAGAGAGTCTAGAGAGATCCCAGATATGCTGTGGAATCAGGGCTTCTCTGCACCAGTCCTAGAATCAGAAGAGAGCTTCTGCAGAGAGATCCTGGGACTATTACTCCCAGAGAGTTCCCCAAAATATTGCAGAAAACTCCCGGAGAAATCCCAATAGTGCTGTTTTTGCTCCAAAGAGAGCTGGTGTGCTGCAGGGATAGAAGAAAGTCTTTTTAAAAAAACAACCACAGGTTTTTCACATCTTAGGACAGTCTTTTGGTGACTGCTTTTGCCAGGAGGCTATACATGACATGGATCTTTTTTGGCTCAGGGTCCATGAGCGGGTAAGGACCACTCCAGCAAAGGACCAGGAATTGCCCCTCCTATTTCTAATCCTACCCCAAAATCCTCTTGCACCAATTGGTAGTAATTTAAAAAGTCCCTTTTGTTCAGGATATGTGTGTGTGTGCAGGCGTGTGCGTGTGAGTGTTCTGTGCCGTCAAGTCGGAACTGACCTATAGTGACCCCTCATAGAGCTTTTAAGATGAATGAGATATTTAAGGAATGGTTTTAACAGTTCCACTCCCCCAGTCAGTCTCCATGGCCAGGTGGGGATTTGAACCCGTTTCTCCAGAATCCTAGTCCATCCCTCTATCCTCTAAACCACACTGGGAGTATATATAATCTGCCTGTGCTGCTTTGCACTTCTGGGGGGGGGGAATCTTGGGGGAGGGTGTTGTTTGTTTGTTTGTTTGTTTATTATCTAAACAATAAATTATTTATTTATTTTCTATTTAATTATTTCATTTATACATTGCCCTTCTACCAGAAATAGGACCAAGTCATCTTATAAGACAATTTAAAACCATAACAGATTAACATACAATATCATGACAAAGATTAAAATAGAACTAAACTGAAACCACCAAATCATGGCGGGATAAAGAAGGGGAAATGGCTTCTGAGGAAGCACAGGGGATCCCCAGGAAGGCCAGATTTGGCTCTCGGCTGTGAATCGTGACACTTGAATAAGATTCCCAGGTTCAGTCTGGACAGATTATAAGGGAGAGTAATACAAATACTCCAATTTTCCTCCACATAGTTGTGTAAACACGATCGAGGGGAACCTTTTAGTCAAGGAAAAAAGTGGGGGACTCAGCTTTATTTCTGAGATTTATTTCTGATGTTGCACCTCATTTAGCCCTAAGAGTTGCAGTGTTTCTATATCTGCAAACAGTTCTGATGAAGTGAAAGCTTCCCCCACCTTTCTTTTTCCTCCTAGCATTATCTCCTTGCTTCTGGCATGTGTCAGTCTCATCAAAGCAGCCCTTCTGTGAGTCAGGCTAGATGTGATTTATTTAACATACTGGGACTTAACAATGCAAATAGCAGTACTGTACCTGCAGAAGTTGCTGAAGTTATTTAACATTCCTTAGGAACCTTTCCACTACTGCTACAAGAGGGGTGAATCTTTGCTCCTCTGCACCTTCTGTTTGGATTTTACTTCCTGTTTGAAGAGGGAGGCAGAGTCACAGTGTTGCCAACCGCTTCTTCATTGCTGGAACTGTTGTGGTAGCCGTTGCTTTTCTACCTTGGTGAAATACTTCTGCTTGCTAATCACTCTTACAGGCGTATAAATATTTCAGTGATCAGCTGCATCCCTCACACAGATCCAGAGAAAAACCTTAAGTGAGATGCTGTTTAGTTCTCATTATCTGTCTGTCTGTCCAAAATTAAAACGCAAAGCATATCACTCTGAAGAATACCTAGTTACAACAGCTTTTAATTGCACCAGCCTTTAAATTTCTGCACACAGAGAAAAGTCTTGGCCACTGTGGCTACCTGCACAAGATGGGATTAGTTAGTCTTTAAGGAAAGCAGGAGTGTGCTTTACTGTTCGTGAACTCTGGTGAGCTGGCCTGCCTTTTTGGACTGCCCTTACTTCTTTGCAAGACAGGAAATCTTTCTGCATCGTCCTTCAAGGTGACATCGTCATCAGGCCCTATTTCAAATAATTGAAAGCTAGACATACAGAGGAGGAACAGGATCTGTTCTCAGTCATCCCAAGAGTAGTAATAATTGGCTTAAGCTACAGGAAGGCAGATTTAGGCTGAATATCAGGAAAAGCTTCTTAGCTCTTAGAGCAGTATGACAAAGGAACAGAACCAATTACAGTACCTCGGGAGGTGATGAGCGCTCCAACACTGGAGGCATTCAAGAGAAA